TATTGGGAAATTCTATGTAATTATATGTATTTAGTTTCAAGAATCTTAATAAAGTACTAGCGTAACTGCTTAAGGTTTAAAAAAAAAAAAAAAAAAAAATTATAGTTCTATATGAGCTATCTGAATTAAAAGTCTGATAAAAAGACAAAAATATACTAAAGTATTGGAGTTATACTGTAAATTAGATGCTAGGATTTAAGTAAACTCTATAAGACATAGTAGTTAAATAATATAACTCTGACTACAAGTATTGGTTCTGCTATAATAATACTAAATCAGCTATAAAAATAAGTTTAAAAGGCTCCAAGAGATTTACTTTGAAAATAAAATAATTTTAAAGTTGAGACAATAATCTGAGCATCTGAGTATAATCTAGTAATATTAATACAGATTGCAGATTCAGAAAGCTTAAAGTAAAACATCCAAGCAGAAGTATTAGATATGACAATTGGTAGAAAACCTTTAGGCAGACTTCTTAAATAGGTAATATAAAAAAGTTATATATATAGCAATTATATACTCTTCTGTAATAGTTCAGTGAATTATATTACTAAAAAATTATTAATAAAAATCAAAAAACTAAAGAGGTTATCTTAACATCAAAAAAATCTTAAATAAAAAAATAGTATAATCTTTAATAGTATTATCTGTAAAAATCTTGATTTAGAAAAAAAACCTAAAAAAATAATCTGTATAGATAAGAACTTTTAGATAAAAAAAACCTATTAATCTGGTTATTAGTTAATCTAAATATAAATTTATATTATACAGAACTTACTAGATTGATAATATAGAAGAATAAACAAAATATCAGTAAAACTAAAAAAAAAATACTAGAATTGTATAAATTCTACAAAAATATAGCAGTTTAATAATTAGGCTTAATTACAAATATTAGTTTTAGTTATAAAAATATTGTGTTAATTATAAATAAAAATACAGAAGATTTATCTTAAAAATAAATTAGTCTTAAGATTGTGATAAAAATCTGAACATAATTTAGTAAAGTTAATACAAGAATACAAAATTAAAAGGTTTAAAATAAAATATTCAAAAAAGATTATTAGGTATAGTACTTGATAGAAAACTTTTAAGTAAATTTCTTAAATAGATAATATAAAAAAATTAAATATGTAAGCAGTTGTATACTTTTTTTATAATAATTTTATATATATATATTGTTCAAAAAGTGTTAATAAAATTAAAAAATTAAAAAGATCATCTTAATATAAAAAAATTTTAAAAAATAAAAAAAAACTGTTAGTTTAATTTGGAACTTAAATTTGTAAATTCTTTAATATTAAAAAGATCTTTTATAAAAATTTAAAGATAGTTTATAAATTTTTTTTTTGCTTTTACTAAAACTATAGTTATTAGTAGTTAGTGTTTTTATTGTAATTTAATTATAGTTATATAACTTGTACAAAGTAAGTATACAACTAGTCATATATATAGCTTTTAATTATTTATTTAAGTTGTCTGTTTACAGGTTTTATACTAGCTATCATATCTGTAATCTGCTAAAAGATTATCTAATTAAATATTCTAATCTCTATACTATATTTAACAAATAGCACACAAGTTTCTATATATCTAAGTGTTATCTGACCTAACTTTGACCTTTCTGTTTATATGTTTATTAAACTATTTTATATTTTAAAGTATGTTATCTAACTATAAGACTTCAAGAAATTCTTTTATAAATTAATTATTTATATTTAGTTTTTATTAACAGAGCTTGTCTTTACAAAGTTTACTCAAACTTTAGTACTGACTTTATAATATATTTCTAGTACTTATAGTATACTACTGCTTTGTTATTAGACTTTTAATTTAAATCTAAAAAGACTATAACCTGTTCCTGATATATTAAAGTTATAATCTGATATTATTTTTTTCTAGTTTAAGACTTTTGACAGTCTGGTTAATGATATCTCTCATTCAAGATTATTGTCTGTCTAATTCCTTCATATTAATATCTGTTTTTTAGATTTAGTCTTTACAGTAATACTATCAAATATCTGTATTATCTTTCTATTTAGATCTTTCTAAGTGGATTTTAACTTTCTAGTCCTATGAATTTATATAATTAAAAAAACTTAACTTGAGTTTGCATTATCTATTACTGGTTTGCATTTCTTTGTGTAATCAATTACACAAATACTTCATGACCTGCTAGTTATATTGATGTGACTGTAGTTAGAGGTATCTTATCACAACTGATTGACAGAATGTTGTTGTCATAATACCATCTATATATTATATAGATGATTATTTAAATTTTTGCTGTTAGTAAATTTTGAACTTACAACCTATCACTTGAAGAGTTGACAACTTATCTACTTTACTAAGTTATCACACTCCTAGTTTATAAATAATATTAAAAAACATAACATAAAATTAATCAATTTTTAATGATTTTTTTATTGTTTGTTTATAAGTAATACTCATTTTATCAAAATAAGTAATTAGGATTATCAATTTAGTTGATAATTCTAATTATTTATTTTGATAAAATGATATACATTACTTATAAACAATAAAAATTATCAAAAATTTAACTAACTCTATACTATAATGCTTAATAATATTTTTAAATAATTTTTAAATTTTATAAAAAGAATCTTTTAATACAAAATAATTCATAAACTTAGGCTTAAAAATTCAACTAACAGTTTTTTCTTACTAAATAAGTTAAAAAGTAAGATTTTATATATAAAATTTAGGTGCATTAATAATTTAAGTTATAATTACAAATTTTATATGTAACAAATCATGTGATTAATAAGTTTTATTATAAAAATTTTTGACTTAAATGTTTTCATGTTAGGGTTAATTTTTAGGTTAGTATTAGGGGTTGGAAAGAGTTTTCAGAAGTGTAGAACATTTTTACTTAGAACATCTCGTACTGATTAGATAATGCATGCATAGATGTAAAACACCACAGGTAAAATCCAAACTGTGTACTTTTTACCTTACAAAATAGCAAAACAATGTTAAATGTAAATGTCGCCTCGAATTAAGGACAAACCTAAGCATATTAATAATAATTATATATATATTATATATATATATTTTTACGATTATATTATCGTTTACTATAAGTTTTAACCAGCAGCATTTACTTATTAGTTCGTTTTTGACCTAATAAGCGTGTATTTACTTTAATTATGATCAAGAACCTCAAACTACAATGTTGATAAAATAATGATGATACGTATGCTAACTAGGAGTGTTCAAATACAGTATCCGGGATTAATTTTTCGTCGTCACTATGCTTAGCTCGTATCATGGAAATTTCCATGATGAATCAAATAATTCAACGAAGCAAGGGCAAAGATTAAACAAGAGACAAATCTTATTCGTAGCATTGTGCATATATATAAGATTTGTTTTTAATTTTGGCTGTAAAAATCACGGGATATGAATTACGCCAAGTACCATTTGCCGTCTTCGGACCCATCTTTCCATCTTGAATGAGTTCTTGAATATACCAATGTCTCGTGTGAATATTATGAGCATAATAATAAATCTTTTCATTTATTTGAAATGGAATTGAAGCTTGAAAGACATTTTTCCAACTTCCACGTGCCGTCTCTTGCCCAATCTTACCACCGCTAAGTAATTCAGAAATCCACCAACAACGATTAGTAGTATTATGCATGTAAAGATAATATTTGTCTTTAATTTGATAAGGAAAATAAACATGATGTGCATTTTGCCAAGTTCCATTGGCGGTCTCTTCGCCCATTTTTCCACCTTCTAATAATTCTTGAATAAACCAGTAATTTGAATCGATATTATGACCATAATGGAATGTTCTTCCATCAATCGTGAAAGGAAAAGCAACATGATAAGCATTTAACCATTGACCTTGATCAGTTTCTTCACCTAATTGTCCTCCTTCAACCAATTCTTGAATATACCAACAATTGGAATCAACATTTTGAGCGTAATAATATGCCCGATTTCCAATTTGAAAAGGAAATGCAACCTGGTAAGGAGTTTCCTGGATTCCACTTGCAGTTTCCTCACCAATTTTACCACTATCGGATAGTTCTTTAATGTACCACTTAAGTGTATCTGTACTATGAGCGTAAAAATAACTTTTACCATTTGTTTGATAGGAGAATACTACATGATAAGGATGTCGTTCAGATGTTGAAGATTTTCCATTAGACTTTTCTGCGCCAATTTTTCCATCGGAAAGAAGTTGCCAAAATCCTGTCGTTGTGTTATATGTCATTTTATGATAAATTAAAAAATAAATAAATAATTCTGGATAGCGTTTATTATATATACGGAAATAACTTTTTCTTATGAAAGGAAGTGTATTGAAATTTTCTCAGATTTTGAAGTTACATGCGATAATTGGTCATTTATATACTCGTATACTTGTAACTTTATACCAATCGCGTTGCTCATTGAGCGAGTAGGGCGAACTCACAGAAGATGAAACTGGTAACAAACAAACATAAGATACCCAACTCGACATATACTCAAGCATTAACAATATGCTTCATTACTGGACTTATTTATTATTGACTAATTTAGTGCTAACACTTGGCATAAACACGTTGAATAAAAAAAAAAGTTAAACCAGCTTGTGTCATAGTGTGTTAATTTCTTCAAAATTAATTTGAAATTTTGTATGCATGTAAGTAGATCAACATAACTTGTTCTCTTAAAAAGTATAATGATGTTTTTTTAGGTTCATCTATTATTCACTCGTTTGCTAAAAAAAAAAAAAAATTATATTTTAGTATGTTTTAATAAAGTGTAATGTATTTGGTTAAGAAACGATGTTTACGTTGATCCATTTAAGAAAACGATTTAATATTACACTTCTATTAATGTGAATTCTATGATTCGTTTATTCATGTATGCATTATGCAATGTAAAATAATTCCCGTTTGCCGATATCAGATGTGATCAAAGGTTTAATTTTAGAAATATGTACGTTGCATCACGGTGTTTTCATTTGGCCCCAAATATTTGGTTTCTACGTAGAAATAATATTAATATACGTACGTCTATATTGTATATGTCTATTTCGTGTTAATTGATTGGTTCTAATTTAAAAATTGATTTGTATACGTAAAACTTTCATCATAATATTCATGCGTATCACTCCATCATATTTTTTAATATTACCTCTTATTAGTCAGAAATTATCACTACAAATATACCAATGATAAACTGCCAACGATGGCCAATGAAAAAAATATATAAACACTATAATATATAATATCCGCTTTCGATTTTTATTGATTATTCAAAATAAAGCTTGTATACAGCCAATTATTGTAAAATGCATCGCTCCTTAAACCAAAAATCAAAAATCTGCCAATTTTGCCTAGATTGATCGACATTGGCCTACTTTAAGTTAGTATTAAATTAGTGTTACACTATACTAAAAAAGAATTTAGAAATAAAGCATATGTCGAAATTATAAGAAATTTTTTTTTGTAAGAGCAGTTCTATAGGCTGATTTGACACCGATTACAAAAAATGTGATTATTGCAAAACTCATGCTAATTGGTTGGTTTATTCAACATTTAGAACTTTGTAAAAATAATATAACTTTGTTAAAATTTGTCAAAACTGAACTTGCTAAAAAATTGCTAATTTTTTACCTAATTTATTGCTAACAATATGCATTTTAATGGTGATGATAATGAACTTTTAAACTAGATAATTTTTGCTAAAATTGGTTAGTTTAAACAATTTAATACCTATTTAATTTGAAATAGAATTTGATTTATTGGCAATATAAATATATTTTATTTGTATTTTATTTGTAATTTAAATGTGTTTTATTTGTATTTTATTATAAAAATAGATTACAATTTTGCAATTCTGCTTTACTATCTAATTTTTATATTTTATACTCATAACACAATACTTTGAGTCTTTAATCTTTTCTTAACTATCAAGAGTTTGTTAAAAAATTAGAATTCTTAATCATATACAATATTAAAAATTTTGATCTATAATAAAAAGTATTTGAATCTCATGTTTTTTATTGAAATAAAGACTTTAATAGTAATAGTATAAAATCTGTTCATAAATACTACTTTATTATTTAAACAGAATATAGTCTATAATAATCTTATAGACAAAAATGTATTAAATTATGAATGTTCGATTTTAGCATATAGATGCAGTGCATATTTAAATTCATAAACTTCAATATCAATATTGATCTGATAGTGAATTTGTTTCAAATTTAAGACCTTTAATATATAAATAACAAATTAAATTCTAATAAAATACTTATTTTAATGAAAGGTTCTATTAGATAATATAATATAATTAATGGTTATACATGGCTGTAAATTGCTATTACATGTCTGCTTGAAATATGATTTAACTAAATAATTCAAATTTATTTACAAATCCAAATAGATATTTGGATCAAATATTATTTTTATAAGTGTAGATCTTATAACATAAAATAATTTAGAAATTGATTGAAATCATAGCTTATAAAACATACTTTTGAACTCATTATTAGTATGTGAAAAACAGAGACATCTATAAATAAAAGTTTATATATCTACCTTTTATATTTTTTGTTTTTTTATAAATTTAAGCAAATTATTAATTTGTTAATAACAATGATATTAAATTTAAAAATTACAATACCTTTATAGTCTTTTAATATCATTGTAACATTTTTTGGTCCTTAAGTTGAATATAAAACTATTGTTAGAGCTGCAATATAGTGACCATTTTGATAAATTTTTATAAAATAAATTAGAATAATATTTATTAAATTAAATAATTTTATTCTATAAGTAGTTACTTACTCTTTATGTTATTGCATATTTTTCACTTTATAATATATACATTTTGATTTAATAATTATTTTATCATATTAAAATTATGAGTAGTATGAATGTTCCAAAATAAATGAAAAAAATATATGTAATATATATATATACAAGGAAATAATTATAATATATACCAAAGCTATACAAACGATGAAAAACATAGAAGAGCAAAAAATATCATTGCCCAAGCCTTATATATAAAGTATATATAAAGATTTGAAGAAAATTAAAGCAATTAAAAAAAAAAAACTATTTGATATTGAAACAAAATATTAATAGATGTTTTACTGTATATTTACAAAGAACTTCAAAAGTATTATTAAAATAAAAATAGCTAAAAAATAACTAATACAACATATTATAGAATAAGGTCATAAAAGTTAAACAAAATGAAACCTGATCAGTAAGTTTAGAATAGTATATTCATATGAAGCCAAATGTTAATTATGAAATAATTAAAAAAATGAGAGCAATAATATTTAAAGAGAAACATAAGTTGGATATAGTAGTGTATTGTTCTTCTGTTACTGGAGTAATATAGTTCATTGTTACTAATACTTGGATAAGAATTTTTTAATAGAATATAATTTAAATAAGATTAATTAAATAAAAAAATTTCTAAGAGTATATAGATTAAATTCTAATGAACAACAGTACTCTACTAAGAGTATACAGGCTTAAACATTACTTTACTAAATTTTAAAAGAAATTATGATATATTCTGTTCTATTTAAAAAAATAAATATACATCATAGTTTTAGAAACAGGATAAGTAGTAACAAAATTTTCTATTTAGAACATCTAAAATCATTTTAAAAACAAAAATATTAATTATTCAATTTTGTTGAATAGTTATGCAAATATTTATGCTTTAGTAGTTCAATTTATTTTTAGGTAAAACCTCAATATTACTTCAATTATTGTTGTAAAACAAGCATTGTATCTTCAAATATTGCAAACTATAATATATACAAAATATTAATATATATCTTGAAAATTACAATTAGATAATTGTAATAGCTATTTTACCCTTATTCAATATTGTAACAAGTTGTTTCAAAGCTCTTATCACAATTTTTTTTTATATAGAAATTCACTATTGCTTTCTGTTAATTAAAAAACTAATTACATAAATAGAGTTTTACATTAATATGTATATATTTTTTATAAACATGTCAAAAATAAATAAGTGACAATATATAATATATTCTTAAATAGCTATAAAGAAGAAATTATTCTGGAGATATTCATAATTTAAAGTATCATGTTGTTGTAAAAAACATCTTGTTTTACAATTGTAAACAAATAAAATGTCTAATAACTTTATTGTAGTTGGTTTTCATTTTTAAAAAAGTACTATAAACTATATAAATAATGTAAAATTAAATTGAATTTATTAGCCAATCAGACAAATTTCTGCCTATGATCCCAAAATGCAATATGAACCAAATCTTGTGATTTTATTGGCTGAGCCAAACTGATGTACACAAAGTTATACAATATTAATAAAAAATTGATATATAAAATTTCTTGTGATTTTATTGGCTGAGCTAAACTAATGTACATAAAATTACACAAACTGATATATGAAAAAAATTGTTATTAAATTTAATACTAAAAAGATTAGACTTTATTGCTTAATAATAAAGCTGCTAATCTTTTACAGACAAGATTAATAATTCAAGTTGGACTGAAGACAAAATCTTAGAATTTTAACTCTGTAATCTATAAGAAGCCAAATTGAATTTGGAGCCTTATGAAAAGCCACAAAATGAAATACAAGAACAAATTAGGAATTTCTGAAAGAAGACTGACTCTACAGAGTGAAAATACTATATATGATAGCAGTATTGCAAAAAGTTTGGCTAACAATAGTATTGTATATATAAGTCCTTAGAAGATAAGACAGTACCAACATCTCTGTATCTAACTTATAGAGTACTTGATTAAAAAAGTAATATTATGTAACTAAACTGAAATGATGAGTAATACAGTGCATGTAAAAAAGATTAGTGACAAAAAAATAGTCTAATCAAAATTAGAATATTTTAGACAGGTACATCTAAAAGTACTAAAAAATTATTTCTTAAAGCAGTTATACATTACAACTTAGATAATAAGTACTATATCTGTATGTAATAAGTCAAGGCTTCAGGCCTTCTTGCAACATTAAGCTAGTAGTACATCAGTATATAGTCAGCAATACACTTACAAAAAAGTCTGTAAGAAGTATATGTGATCAAGCTGCAAACTAAACTAATTATGAAGTATATCTAAAAAAGATATATAATAAACTGCAAATTGATAATTCAGATCTTAATAAATTTAGCTGTGCTACTAGAGTACTAAAAAGTAAATTAGACTATATTGTTAACATTAAGAGTTTTACACATTTTTGATCATAACTTTT